AATGATTTATTCTTTTACCTGTATTCAAAAAAAAATTTAAAAGTTAAACAAATAAGAAGATATCAAAAGGGCCAACATAAAACTTGAAGAATGTCAGACAACACATGGACAAAAAAGGCAAAAAAAAAAACCAAAACATTTTTCGACAAAACACTACAGAGAAAACTAAAGATTAAGCAAAATTAACCCTATCAAAAATCGTGTATAAGCTAAGTATTCCGGAAGAGAAAGCAGTGGAAACAGTCGTATTACTCATGGCGAAAATAACCTGCGATGAAAAGCTGCACTAGGTGATATCTTCAGTGTAAGACAGAAACCAAAGCAAGAAACAGTATCAAGAGGGAAATGCAGTTGCTGATGGAGTTTCTTTATACAAATGGAAAGTTTACAATGGAAAAACTTTTAAAAATTAAGTTTTCTTTTAGATTTTATTCAAGAAACGATGCAGGCCAAATATCAAATCCCATAATATGGAAGCTGAGTAATATATAACGAAAAATTTCATGCTCAGTGGGTAAAGTGACTGCGCGCAGATTGAAAATCGCTTACACATAACAATCTTATCAGTATCAGACCAAATATCAAATCATTCAATAATACTCAATGATTTCATTTTTTCTATATTGGACTTTGTTTTATTGAGTAGTAGCATTCCATCGACTAACGCAAACATAATTTACTCTTTAGGTCAGAACATGTTGTTGTTGAGGATATCTCCATCAAAATATGTGTTCTTTTGAGTAGATTGTTTTACATAAAACTCGCACAATTAGGTTCTCCATTACGAATTGGTTGATGGTTGTACAGTGTAGCAATATTTCACTTGACTGGACAAAGTATTTAGTTATTCAATTATATACTACTCAAAAAAAGTTTTGCACTGTTTCCATTGAGATTATCGGGGGTCAAACTTTGAAGGCTCATATCTTTGTAGAAAATGCTCAAATCGTTCTGAAATTAACAGCATTTAAAAGAATGTTTTAAAGGGTGATGAATTGGTGCCCTAAGATTTTTTTCAATTCTTTTGCAAGGGAAATGTTAGTATTTGTTCGTATATAATAAATTATGCCACCCGATTTCCCCCTTTGTCAATTGTGTGCGTTGTACTTATTTTTTTTAACTCGGCCATGTGCAGAAAATAAAAAAAAATTGGGACTTTCCATTTTGAACCCTTCCCTCAAAGTTTGCGAACAGTGTAGCTGTCTGAAATGTGACCATCATAAATGCAGTACTTTTGAATTCACAAAATTGATTGAAGATAAAGAAAACAAACACTTGAAAGATAAATCGAGATTTTGATTTACTTTATTGTCAATCAGAATTTGTGTTGCTAAACTGTTTTTTAGTAGTATAGATCAAACATCGCCACTTTTTTTCAAGAAATATTAATTCCAGTTCCATGTTTTTCCCCGATTGTGACATGAGCTACTGCCGTACTGGGTGTGAAATTGGAATCACATGGCATTTAAACAGTAATTTTATGGAAATATGTCTATAAAATGTTAAAATTATTTGAAACACTTACGTTTTTCTACCCCAGGTATTGATCAGCTTAACCTGATGTGGTATATTTCGGGTGAATCTTTAGTTTTCAAAGCTCTTAAGATTTGTTCTTTGAACTGTTTTGATTCGAGAGCCTATGGGGAGTGTTATGTAGACGGAACGGGCGTCTGTTGTACTGATTTATAAGTCTGATATCTTCGATTAGTTTTGCAACCACTTGGTCGATGCCATTGCTAGTGGACGTTACGTTCCCGTTAGTATGACTATCCAGTAGTCAGCGGTCATGTGCTGGCATGACATGTCATAGATACTGTCATGTTCTGCGAATTGACTGTTAATAAGATGTTAAATTCATTTAAAACATCAATCGGTTTCTACCTCATACATAGATGTCCTTATTGAGGTTGGTACAACTTGGGAAATGTTTAGTTTTCATTGCTCAACTTCGAAATTGATTTGGTCTTCCAACCGTTTTAATTCTTGTGCCACTGATCAGTTTAACATATAAAAACGAAAGGGCGTCTGGCGTTCTAAATTACAAGCCTGGTTAATTTGATGAGTATTTTACCATATCGTAACACATCTGGTATGCATTAAATTTTATATTTGAACTAACATCGGTAAACTATATTTCATATTAATAGAAGAAAAAAAATTTGATTCCTTCAATATATAATTTTTTTCATTTAATTGAATGAAATAATATTTTTGTATTATTTCAAAATCAATATTCTCATCAATTATTACAGCTTGCAAATTTATCTTTATATCGCCCTGTGAAAAAAAAATCTGTTATTTTTCTATGTTGAAAAGGTTGAAAATTTAAATGTAGTCAACATCAGGTTAGAGGTAATTCAGAAGCTAGTCGTTACAGGGATAATTTAAAATGTTGAAAAGGGAAGTCTTCTTACACTAGGAGTGTTTAATTGTAAACATTGAATGTATGGTGTTTATAAAAAAAAGCAAATAGCATATTCTCTAAGTATTTAAATAATGAGTACACTCAAGAAGTTCCGTTAAAGAAGGAAGACAAAAACTCGCATGATAATAAGTCACTTGGTTTGAATGAGATGAAAGCGGTTCAAGTTAAACTTAGAAAAGTCTCTGAAGCCTATTATGTATCATCGGTTTAAATGAAATAATTCCGTATATATGCATCTTGCATGTTTACTAACTTATTGAGAGCTGAACTTATGTTACTATAGGCCACTTTGTATCTTGGTACAGAACTAGGCAAGGTTGGGCCCTTTTTGGCGGGAGACTTAAATTCCCATAGAAGTAAAAAAAATCACCAAAGACACCAGGCTAACAATTTTGTACAACAGACGCGCGCTTCGTCTACATAACACTCACCAGTGACGCTAGAATCAAAACCGTTGGATGGCCAAATCAAATACGAAGTTGGAGAGCATTAAAAACCGAAAATTCCAAAAATTTGTACCAAACGAGGCTAAGGCAGTCTATACTTGGGGTAGAGAAACTTTAGTGTTTCAAATAATTTAATATTTTATAAACTGCAAATTTAAAGAAAGATGAACATATCAATATTCCAAGTCAACAAAAAGTCCTGACTACTGGGCTGATTATACTCTCGTGAACGAAACGTCAACCTGCAGTGGAATCGAACAAGTAGTTGTAAACACTCATAAAAATTACTAGGCTTATTTTAAACGCCAGACGCGCGTTTCGTCTACATAAGACTCACCAGAGACCCGAAAATTCCAAAAAGGTGTGACATTTATGGTCATACCTGGGGGTAGAAAACCCTTAGTGTTTCGAATATTTCAACCCAGACAAATGTTTCGTCTACATAAGACTCATCAGTGACGCCCAGTGAAGTAATATTGGGTCTAGTTTTATGAATGCAAGTAACTGTTTATCTTAAAATAACAGTCTGTGTATCCTTGTACAATATTTAGTTAAACATCAGTAAATGAAAACTATATGTGGATGCTCTGGTTAAGGAGACTCCATTATTCCTTCGAAATTGTGCTGAGAAATAAAAACTTAAGTGTTGGTTTGAATTAGTTCAAAAGTCCTTTGGATTATGTATGTCGAACACACAAGAGTAGACATCAATGGACACAGAATAAATAAAAAAAATCTAAATAAATTTAACAATATTCAATATCCATAAATACTGACATATTTTGTGGAAATGTTTTTTTCAAGCTAGTAAATTTGGGAAAAAAAAGTGGGCCTAACTGGCATATTCCTGTTAGTACAGATTATTTTCAAATAAAAAACAGTGGGTTAAAATATGTTTCCTGTGTTCCATGAACTATGAATATTTGAGTTTAGTCCCCAAGTGGAAATGTTTTTATACATCCAAGTGCAGTACACAAAAGTCACTCACCAAGAGTTTGTACAAGGGCTATTGTATGTCTAAGATGGTATAATATACTCACACAAATTTATCTCTTCTCATATTCATATTAACCACATCAGATGTGAATGTGTATTCATACATCTTGCAGTCACACAGTTGCTGCATTCATACCAATTCATAAGTTGAGCAATGAACCATGACAATGAGGTGAGAGTCAATTGAATCTTGTCAGATGGAAATGTACACCTTTAATCATTGTACATGCTAAGATTATAACTTTGACTTATAGTATAATAATTGGCCTATTCACCAAAGCTAAAAAATCACCAATAAACCATGAATGTGAGGCTAAATGAGATGAACCCTGTCGGACAAACATATACATCTCGCTATCAATCTATGGGAAATATAACTAATCTATAAATTGTATTGAGTAACTGACAGTCACTTAACTTTAAAATTGACCATGAAAATGAGGTTAAGTTCAGATGAATCCTGTTACACTTATAATAACATCTAAATACCAAATTCTTTAGTAAAAGAGAAACTAACCTATACAAAACAAACTGTAGTTGTTAACTTATATGTCATTTGGTCTCTAGTGGAGAGTTGTCTCATTGGCAACCATACAACATCTTCTTATTTTTATATATTGACAAATGACCATGAAAACGAGATCAAGGTCACATGAACCCTGTGTCAGAAGGACAAGGACATCTTTCAATCATTCTAAACACCATATATAAAAATAAGAAGATATAGCTTACCTTTTACTTCTCATAGCTTAATGTTGAAAAATTAACTATGACAATGATTTCAAGTACATCTTGAAAAATGCTTTTATCCCATTGGTACTGTGAAAATGAGGTCAAGATGAGTTAATAATTACTGTCTGACAGAGTCTCAAAATACACAGACTCCAAATTCTGATTTACAGTGAAAGTCTGAACTCTGACGAGATATAAATGTAATTCTACACAAGCAGAAAAAATTATTTGCCTTCAGCGATTTTTGATACAGGTAAAACAAACAGGATATCACTGATGCTCCAACCATTGTGTCAATGTTACATTTCTACCTTCAATCATACATGGTTGATTTTTATTTCAATCCTGATCTCAGACAATTAAATAATAAACTTGATTCAAATATAGGTAAACACAATGACTTAAAACAACTCAACATTTTTTTTTAATTTCATTTGCATTTTTTATTATGGTCAACACAATAACTTGAATTATCTGTAGCACTTTTCAACCTCTCAATGTTTACTATAAATCATTAGTTTAATGGTGCAGTTATCATAAAGATCATCCCCAATTTTCTGGTTCTTCGAACATCTTCACATCACCATCATCTCCAACTTCTGTAAAATTTTATAATAGGCAATAAATACCAGAAAAATGAAACTAAATTAAATAAATATTACTAGCTAAAAATATTAATTTTCCTTCTGTAAGATTAATGGAATCATTTCGAGCTAAATGTAAGTTTGTCTTGTTTGGTGATACTTTACACAACTTTTAAATACTTCTTCAGTGGTGAAAGAAACTAGAATGACTATTGTTAACTGGTAGTTTCACCTAGAAAACTCTATAAAATACCAAAAGATTAAGTTCAACTTTCCCAATGACAGCAAGGCTAGAACATCTATCTTAAAAGTAAGCTGTAAAAGTATGCAAGAACTACCTAAATACACCATTCCAAAACTAAGTTCCACTACAAAGTATACACATGAGTGTATATGGATGGGGTGTTATATATTTTTGTGCACAACACAGAGCTTACAGCATGAGAAAGATGTGTCTTCTTAGCTATTATCATGTTAACTTGTATACTATAAAGAAGCATGTCTGGGTTTGTTAACTATTAATCATAAAATATCTTAGCCATTGCTATATGCTATATACCTTTATTCTTAGATTTGTTGGATTGTCCATTTTTGACAGATTTTTTCAAAGCATCTGCATAAGAAGGTACTTCAGGACCTATGATCTCTGATAAAGGAGGAGTGATAGATCTGGACACAAATGGTGCAGCACTGAAAAAATAAAAAAAAAAAATTTAATGTTTTCTACGAAATATGTGTTTTGTACTTGAAACTTAAAACAAGCTTTCATAACATGTGGCTCCTGCATGGTGACACTTGACTATTTTTGAGGTAAGACATTTCTAAAAAAAAAAGAAATAGATGAAATAGATACAAAGTAATGAGATGAGGTTAAGTGTATTAGTCATTTACTCTCACTCCTGAAAAGTAATAAGATACCTCTCCTGGTGTAAACATATTATTTTTTAGAATGAAGTGTTTCATAGAATTAACTTCTTCATAAAAGACATAATCTTTAAACCAAGGTTGACAACAACATTAGTTTGTCTTGTCCCATCACATTGATGAATATGTCTGAATGTTATTATATAATACACATATGATATACAGGTAGCGTTTTTCTTCACTTCAATACTCTCCCTATTCAAATATTCGCTACTGGTTATTAAGAAAAATGTTGCCACTGTATCAATGGTCAGCAGCGCTCCTGAAAGTCATTATTTCTATTATTACTGATTTAAAGTTATATTTAGAAAGACATATGTTTCTATACCTTATTATTACTATTCAATATATTAACATGTCTTTATACTACTAAGAATTATTGTCTCAACAGTTATTAAGGGAATTTATCAAAAGTTTAATAAAACAGTAAAAAGGTACTTACTCCTTCCTAATTAGATCTATTTTAGGGATTTTTTTCCAAAATAATACTGCTGGGGGGCAATTATATAAATGAATGCTTTTAAAGAGATCAATAGAGAAGGAGGGTGTCAAAATACCAATGCTGTTGATCTGTCATGATTTAAGCATTAGTTATTAAGCAGAACACCTGAGTAATAAAACTTAACCAGATGATTACAGCATAAGAATAGGGTTATGACATGACAATAACTGGCTAACAAAGTCACATCTTACGCAACCTGCATCCAAATGCTGGAAACCTAGGTGACAATTCAGATAAGATATCTGCAATAGTTGATGTGGCTTTCCCTGTTGAAAAAGTAATTCTCTTACATTCTTGGCCAGTAAGACCAGTTACTGTACATTATTGGCTGGTTAAAGACAAAGATCAGATAATTTTACTGTTAAAAAGATTTAGTTATCTCTTCTATATATATCAGTTTTCCCAAAAGTGCATACAGGTCAAAGAATTATATAGGCATGATACACATATGTCACTTAAAATGTACTATTAAATAACACCATTACAAACAAATTAACATATAGAGTATAAAAGTGCAGATAATTTGCAAAAATAAGTCAAAAATATATAAATAAATACTTGTACTGAAAAGACCGACAACAGGAAAAGTATAATTACTTCTTGTATATTTATAGTACAACTGACGTAATTTTAACAAATAAGCTGCAGGAAATATGGCAACATATTAACAGTAGGATTTATCTTTATCACTGCCCAGAGATTTTTATTTGTAAATTAAAAATAAAACAAGAGTGCACATGCTGAAATGTCTCGCCTGTTTTACTTATCATTGAATTTATGTTGAAAGTCTGCAATATGAAGGTTTTACTACAAGTATCACATAAACTTAACATTGACCATGAACCATGAAATTGATGTCAAGGTAAGATGAAATCTGTCAGTCGGACATGTACTCCTTACAATCATTCCATACACCAAATACAGTTGACCTATTGCTTATAGTATCTGAGAAATAGACCAAACCATTAAAACTAAACATTGTTCAATGAACCATGAAACTGAGGTCAACGTCAGATGAAACCGGTCAGTCGTATATGTACCCTTTACAATCATTCCATACACCAAATATAGTTGACATATTGCTTACAGTATCTGAGATATGGACTTGACCACATATCTTTAACCTTGGTCACTAATCCATGGAATAAGGTCAAGGTCAGGTGAATCCTACCTGATGGACATGTAGACATTGCAAGGAACCCATATACCAAATATAGTTATCCTATTACTCAATTTGTTTTCAGGCAGTCACTGAAAGATGGAAATGAGATCAAGGACAATGGACATATGACATACGGAAACTTCGTAACATAAGGTATCTGCATACAAGGTATGAAGCATCCCAGTCTTCTACCTTCTGAAATATAAAGATTTAAACAAATAGTTTACGCCGCCGCTGCTGGACTGTATGTCTCGCATACTTTGACTTTCATCATGACTGTTTCATAACATTTGGTTGAGGCAAACTAAAATTAGAGATCAGAAACTAATTTTGGGACATACATACGGACAGACGTAGACGAACAAGGGTAACACTTATTGCCGCCTCCGCCGCAGCGGGGGCATAATAATTTTGCGTTTTTTTCTGTTTACAAAATTAATATTTTAGATTACTTATTTTGAACATGAATAGATCCTATCCTATACTACAATTGGGAATATTATTCAAAGACATAGCTTTTTTTCAATATAACTGAGAACCTCTGTTTTGTGCTCATAAAATAAATGTTGTGGAAACCATTTCCCTACAATTTTGGGAATCAATCCAATTTTTAATACCATTGCAAAATATACAATAGTTTGAAGAACAATCATCTTTTTTTATGCATCCTACTTATTGAAGCTCTGAAATGTAAAATTCTTTACATCGATCGTTGTGCAGAAAGATGCATCCGTGCAGATGCATGTGCAAATTGTTGTAAGAATCCTTGAAAAAAACACATTATCTCTGTGCAGTTGAAGCCTGCTTAGAAATTTCAGGGATGTTTTGTGTACTATAATTTGTCTTTTCATCCTATTCCTTTAAGACATGACTATCCTTTAACTTATAATTTTGATTGTCTTCTTGGCATCTCCTTGTTTGTTTACCCTTCGTAATCATAAAAGAAAACCATCCTTAAGTATAATGCCTTCAGTAATATGATATTTCTGATTAGACTGTTAGTTTACTCGAAAATGAATATACAATCACACTGTTCCTGAAAGACACGATAAATATCTGAATGGTGTAAAAAAAAAAATTTCAGTAAAAATATTTTTGCCAAGTTTATCATTTATTTTTTTTGAGAAGATTGCATTGTGAAACATGAATACATGATTTTACAAATTCATAGATATAAGGTGATAATAAAGCAAATGTGTACATCTGCTCTAGGTGATTGTGAAATAATATATCAGTTTAATTGCATTTACTAGAATTACTTTTCAGTTTATTAGACATCTAAACAGTGACGTATTGATTTTGCATACAGATTTGTTCATTAAATGGATGTACTTTAAAACTATCATATGACATGGACTATGGTTTAAACCCGTTTAAATGCAACATTGTATGAAACTATCTAAAGTCGATTTTTCAGCAATGATAAAAATATTTTTTTAGATGGGCAGTGCAAGATATCATTTTTCTTTTTTGTTTCGCATAAGATAATATCTCAGGTGCACCTGTACCTGATGTCTGGAAGTGTAAATTTTAAAGTAAATGTGAATAACAAAAATTTCAGAGCACATTGCACTACAAGTGAGTTTTCAATAACTTAGATTTTAAAACATTTGAACTGCATTTTCAGAGACAATATTTCAACAAGAGTGCACAGGTTGAAATGTCTCACCTGCTTTACTTCTGATTGAATTTATGCTGAAAGTCTGTAATATGAAAGTTTTACTACAAGTATCACATAAATCTAACATTATTAATGATCCATGAAAATGAAGTAATGGTCAGATGAACCATGCCAGACAGAAATGTACTCCTATCAATCAGTCCATACACCAAATAAAGTGGTCCTATTGCTTATAGAACATGAGAAACAGTTCACACCACAAAATTTCATCATTGACCAATAAAACATGAAAATGAAGTTCCTGCCAGACAACCATGTACACCTTACAATCATTCCATACACCAAAAATAATAAACCTATTGCTTATACTATATAATAAACTGTCATAACCACAAAACCTATCATTGACCAATGAACCATGAAAATGAGGTCAAGGTCATATGAAACCTGCCAGACAGACATGTACAACTTACAATTATTCCATACACCAAATCAACTGACCTATTACTAATAGTATCTGATAAATAGACCAAACCATCAAAACTAAACATTGTTCAAAGAACCATGAAATTGAGGTCAAGGTCAAATGAAACCTGCCAGACAGACATGTACAACTTACAATCATTCCATACACCAAATTTAATTGACCTATTACTTTTAGCCACTAATAAACTTTCACACAAAACCCATCATTGACCATTGAACCATGAAAATGAGGTCATGGTCAGATAAAACCTGCCAGTCGGAAATGTACACCTTACAGTCATTCCATACACCAAATATAGTGGCCTTATTGCTTTTAGTATCTGAGAAATAGACCAAACCACAAAAACTAAACATTGTCCAATGAGCCATGAAATTGAGGTCAAGGTCAGATGAAACCTTCCAGTCCGACATGTATACCTTACAACTATTCCATACACAAAATATAGTTGACCTACTGCTTATAGTATCTGAGATAAGGACTTGACTACGTAACTTAAACCTTGATCACTGATCCATGAAATGAGGTCGAGGTCAGGTGAACTCTACCTGATGGACAATAAGACCTTGCAAGGAACCCATATACCAAAAATATGGTTGTCTTATTACCCATAATAATAGAGTATTTCACTTTTCACACAAAAAATTTGTTTTCAAGCAGCCACTGAACCATGAAATTGAGGTAATGGACAATGGACATATGACAGGCAGAACTTCATTACATAAGGTATCTGAAGCATCCGGGTCTTCATGCCATGATTTCCACCCCCACTGCTGCTGGACTGTAATCCCTATATCTCACATTCTGTGACTTTAGCCACAGGCAGGACAAAAATGACACATAAACTTCATGAATTATCTTTGATTGAAATGTTTTTCATACTTTCAAACAAATGTTGGATAGGTTATCCATATTCAAAGTTTTCCCAATTCTTGATAAGCTCTATCAACTTAATATGGCCATTAAAACTATTTCAACTTCAGAGTGAAAAGGAGTG